ATATCGTGTATCATTTACAGAGTTAGTGCCGACATGGACCTTTATTTCATCTAGTGAACACTTCAACCTAAAAAAAAAATATATAAGAATATTAAAAATCTATATCTATTAAGTTCAAATTTTGGAAGTATTTGTTATGTATTTTATCAATTGAATATTAACAGAAATATAACAGAAGCGGCCAATAGAATAGAAGGTTGATTGCAGAAATTAAACACTCTCTCTCTCTCTCTCTCTTTCTCTTCAGTTTCTGCTATCAATCTCCAATTTGATGTTAGATTATATCATTAAGTTCTGCCAGCAAAACATAAGTTGAAGACTACTTAAATGATACTGAATTTGTTGCAATATCCAAGCAAATCTACTATCAATTTGTAATCAGTAGATTTGTTTAGATATTATATCTGCTGGTAGTTTGCTTATTGAATACGTACACATTTCATACACTGTGTGTATTTAATACCTTCAAATAAAATTAGATTTACATTCCAAAAATAATGTATATTGATAAAAATTCAAAATATTCAACATACTCAACAACACATTTTGCTGAAGTTAACACATTATAATTATCAAGAATAGATCCACTGCATACGTGTGTGTCATTTACTCTAAGTGACACTTGATACCCAAATTTGCCGATAGGAGCTACATCCTTGATGTCAATAGAAGTATCCTCACTTATAGTAGAAGGAGATGGAGCTCCTTATTAACAAAAATAAATTAATTAATATATATGCAAAATAATATCTGTTACATTATTACAGTATTTTTCCAGTAAAAGATACGAATCGATTGTCTCTCATCGAATATCGAATAAAGTTAGAATATCTCCTGTGTTGATTTATATCTTTTTTTGGAAAACATCTTATATATATTAATTTTAAGAATTAAACATCGTATTTATTTTATAATTAAATGAGTTGTTTAGAGAAGTTTTATTTAGAATATAAATTTTTTATATCTAGCTTTATTGTTTATTTTACATTAATTTTTAAACTTTACACATATTTAAAGAATGCAAAGAGATGTACATGTACTTTCTATTGATATAATTAATTATAATTAATTAATTTGTTTATTTACGATTTTTTAGTTCGTTTAGGTATACGTTTTTTTACATATACGATAAAATTTACTATAAATGACATGCAATCGTTATTATCAAAAACTTTGAATATATTGGAAAGTAATAACTAATACAACGCTATAATTTTCACTGCCGATTGACATTTAGACGTCGCGCAGATTAGTGAGATAAGGGAAACAAAAACTAAAAATCGTCTGAAAGTTGCAAATAAATTTCAACATTGAGCTAATACATGTAGCAATCGTTGCATTGACATATTGATCAATATATTATATTAGATTGCCTTTTGTAGCAAACATTTATAAAATTGATTGATCTATTATATTTTATAAATGTTATGATTGTTTAGAAAAGTCATTACATTTATATAATACATTTATATAGTAACCCGACATGGTGACCAATATATTGATGCTATATACATCCAGCACATGTTATCGGACATGTTTAATTCTCTTTTTTCTATTCTCTCTCTCTCTCTCTCTCTCTCTCTCTCTCTCTCTCTCTCTCTTTTTCTTATTTTCTTTGTCATAAGGCAGTTATAATAACATATAAAGTATATGTAAATATTATTTCCAGGAAATGAAATTATAATAATTAGTTACTGTATGTGCCGTTATTATTTAATGTTAGTTACTTAGTTGTTTTGTTGTAATAACGATTTGGTAATAACGTTGCGAATGGTTTTATGTTGCTAATAGATCTGTTTTTTATTTTTGCACTTTTTGAAGTGACAGTACAATAAGCTAAAATGAAACAAACATATATTTATTTCACTTCAACTTATTGCACTATGTATACCACGGAAAATTCAGAGATGTATGAATAAAAAACAGATCCTTATGTAACATCAGAGTTGAAACAGTTAATAGTTACGTATCACTTTTTTTTTAATTGAAAAAAAAAGTCGTTAGTCACTGAAAGAGATAACTCGCAATTTGTAACTCGTTCTTTGTAACGGAGTAACTTTACGGCATTACTAGTTACCTGTCACTTTTTCCAATAATAAGTAATAAAGTTTCAGTAAGTAATACGTAATGATGAGAATTTACTTTTGAAAGTGACTTTTCTTAGCTTAATTTTAGCTTTAATTACTTATTATTACAGTTATAAAAAATTGCAACATCATTATAAAAAATTGTTATTGTGAAACGTAACTGTAAAAGTAATAGAAAAATAATTCTTCCATTTCCTGATAAATTCATACCTTCAGTAGTGTATGCCAGAGCGACAAATATAAGACAAGCGGACACACGCATCTTTGATTACAGATTTGTTACCTGATATTGAAGCGAATAAATGCATTTAAGGGTTTATATATGTTTCTGAAGTAGTCGCAACAAAGATATAAATCTTGCGTTTGTGAAGCTTTCCAGAATTTTTCTCAGTGTAATATCATATGATAAAGTATCGTTACTACTATTATCTGATACACACGTCATAAATTACATTTTAATCTTGTTAAATGTTATCTTACTCTTCACAAATGTGCCGATTAAGTTAGCATTAGAAAGTATTTTTAATAGATAGTCGGACATTTCTAAGGGTTGCAATATCTCAAAAGACGAATTTATTATTATTCTTCGACTGGTTTTAAACTCGACATTTTTTCAGTTTGATAAAGATATATACAAGCAAACTTTTTTTATTTGCCGATAGGATTTTCCTTATCTTCGGAGATTACTGACTCAGAGTTTTGCAAGAACTCTTAAAACGTTGAGATTTTTATTTCTCTTTTTATGTCAGATATTGTAAACATTATTACTACAGCTATTCTTTCTAATATGACCGAGATTCTTAATATATTTAACTCGTTTCACCCAAGACTTTAATTTATGATTAAAATCGGATGCAGTGTTTTAAATTTTTTGGACATTAATATTATTAACAATGACAATACCCTAGAATTTGATTGATTTCATAAATCAACTTTCTCAAGGAAAAATCTAAATTTTATGTCTTCGCTTTGATTTAACAAAATAGAAAAGTTATCATATTGAAATGATTGACAGAGTCTTTTTTTTGACGCATCTGAAATTTCACACATAACAAAAATATTAATTTTATTATTGAAAAGTTATTAAATACTGTCTATTTTTTTTAAATTTATATTTGACTTCAGTGTTAAATTTTTTTATTATAAAATAAAAATTTAGAACAAACTTTAAAACAAAATAAATTCGATCACGAAGGGAAAAGAAAACTATCCCTAGGGCTATGGCACAAAAAAACTTAAGCAATAAAACTGCAAGCGTCGAAAGCGATATTCGCCACGACTATACGCTAGAAGAACAAACCCGTGTTTGAAGAAGAAGTTTTTAGTAGCGAATTCGTTATAACGTCACTAGACGCGGCTTCTAGCGAATAAAAGTCGTCCCATATAAATCACGCTTTAAGCAATTGCAAATTTCTGTGAATTATGAGCATTGGACCATGGCAACAAAACAAAATTATGTAGTTGAGTGGGGATTTGTCTGGTGGACGGGAGTGTAAAGATTTTTTTTTTTAATACTTATACTTCACTGAGAATGTGTATGGCCCCAAATGTGACCGAAACATTTAAATTGTAAAGCAAATCAAATATAATTTATTTATAAATCTATTAAATTGTTCATTATATTTACTCTTATTGCTTGATTTTCTACAATTGTTACTTATATTTTACATTTTACTTATTGAATGATAAAAGTAATAGTTCTAATTAAATTTGCAGTTTTCTCTGACACCTTTTCTTAGAATAATTGGGATTTATTGGATTATCTGATAAAGTTCACATAGTCATAATTGATTTGCATTTATCGATTACTATATCCGATAATTTATGATATTAGAGAGTTTTTGCAATAATGTTAATCCAGATATGGTGAATGCTAAAGTTATCCTTTTCTTAATTAGTTGTTAAAAAGAAGAAACCTTAGCGTTTACCGTATCTGGATAAACAGTATTGCGAAAACTCTCTACTGTTAAAGTAAAGTATTATACGATTAGAAAAGTCAACATAAATTTTATAATATAGAGAGTTACAAATTTGTTTACAAATCTACAAATAAATAAATTTATAAATAAAAATTATAAGAATAGAGAATTGATTTGTAAATAAGAAATAAATAAAATAAAATAAATAAGAAATAAATAAATAAAAGTTTAATAATATCTCAATAGAAGTTATTTGAAAGAATAAATACTGTATTTAAATTATAAATATTATATTTAATACTTTAATTGCTTCGTCATTCATGTTTGGTTGACACGTGAATTTTTATATGATTTTTGTTATCAATTCCTGTGACACTTTATTAACTCGATTAGAAATGATTTTAAGTATTTATGAAAATATTAAGAAAATATTGTTAAAATAATGTATTAAGTTTATTAAAGACATAATTATT